ATAGATGAGCTGGAGAGTTTTCAGAAAAGGACAAGCAGGGGGTTGGAGGACATCGAATTCATGCTATATAAGGAATGAGAATCAGTTGAAGGAACCAAAGATATTTTTCTTGGAGAAGGGAAGACTTGGGACAGGGGGAAGATCTTAGTGAAGGAATACAGATATGCTGATTTTCCCCAGGGAAAAGTAGGAAAAAGGGATAAAAATAAAAAATCTGAGCTTGATGTAAGGAAAAACTTCTTAATTGAAATGAAACAGGCTATCTTGGAAGATAATAGATTCCCTTTCATTGAAGGTTTTCCCACAAAAATGGCCTGGCCACATATTAGACATAGTAAAGGGGATTCTTGTCAGGAGGATGTACTCAATGACCTCTGAGGTCTGTTCCAATTCTAGGATCATGTGAAGTGTCTGGGGCAGCCAGGTGGAAGAAGAAATGGACTCAGTTTACTTGGCCACAGAAGGAAGAAGCAGGAGCAAAGAGTAGAAGTTACAGGAAGGTAGACTTTGGCTCAGGAGAGAGACAAGGTGTTGTGGTAGAAAGAAACCACTGGATTTTAAGATAGGGGACCTGGGTTTGAATCCTGTCTCCTACCTGCTATTTATGTAATAATATCACTTCTTTTTGGGCCTCAGTTTCCTCATGTATAAAATGGAAAGATTGGACTGGATGACCTTAAAGGTCCCCTTCTAGTTTTAAATCTATAATCTTATGAAGGAAAAAAAAATCCTAACAATTAAAACTACCCCAAAAGGCCAAAACTTGCTTCAAGAGGTAGTGCGCTCCTCATTTCTATGGGTCTTCAAGGGAAAATTAGACAATCATTTGTCAGGATTGTTATAGAAGAGATCCTAGTTAACAGGTTGGACTAGATAAGACCCAAGGTTCCTTCCAGTTTCGGGGTTTTATGATCCAACATCTTTTTATTTTCATCATTGTGCCTATCCTCAATCATTCTATGGGTTTCCTGTCCAGAAGGCAAAATTCAGTTTGCAGAAATCAAGAGAAACTAAAGATGGGAGTCCCTAAGGAAAAAGAATAAATGCCATGTGGAGATGCTACACAAAAAAGTGGCAATTCTATATTCCGCCCTCTCCTCCCTACAACCTCTTCCCACAGAGGAAATGTTATGTAGCCAGATCTGGGGTCCTATGAGGACCTAATGTTTACACCTAGACACCAGAAAGATATTATAGCTCCAAAACTCTGAACATTGGATTCCTGGATTCAATCCCAGAAGTGATACAATGAATGGTAAAGAAGAAAAATGGCTGGCACTTATCTGGGGCTCTGTAAACTATCTCACAAAGCACTTTACATACATTATCTTATTTGATTCTCCCAACAGCCCTGGGACTAGAGTGGAACAAGTACTTTTTAAAAAAATACAGATGACTAAACTGAAGCTCAGAAAAGTGAAATGACTGGTTAAGGGGATACAGCTAGTAATGGGTGGAGCCAGATCCTCAGACTCCCAATTCAGGGCTCTTTCTACTGTTCTGTAGAATGGGAGCCCAGGCTTTCTGACTCCAAGTCTAGTGAATAGTTAAGACCTTTCTAAAAGCAAAAAAAAAAACCTCTTAAATGGAGTTGGGAAAGTTTTGATTCACTCTATTGGTTTTCATTTCAGTGATAAAATTTTTTTATAATTCCATATAAATGTCTACTAACATGTTGTAGATCTAGACTTAGAGGTCCTAGACATTGAAGAATCTAAAAAGCAACAGAAATTTCTGTCATAATAAATGAATGACTGAATGAATAAAAGAGAAGGGGGAGAGAGACAGAGAGAAGAAAAGGGAAGAAGGAGAGGGAAAGAGAAAGAGACAAGAAACAGATCAGACTGGTGCTCCTGCCCTCTGAACTATGGAAAGAGGAAGTAGAGCTGATGGTCATGGTGGTAGAATCATAAAAATGTGAAAAATAAATGACAGGGTTTGTTTTTTTTTTCAGCAGCCATTATCAAAAAGAGTATGAATTCTGCAGGTGAAGAGCATTCCTATTTCCTTTTGTAACATATCTCTTGCAATAATTTGGCAGTGTCCCTTTAACTTTTGCATTTTGGAAATAGTAAGGGAGAAAAGGCCCCCAAAAGGGTTGTTCAATAAGTCAATAAGAGATACTTTGAGATAATATTACAACCACCAAATGAACTAAGAGACTGGTTTCAAATTTCTGGGCAAACACACACACACACACACACACACACACACACACACACAAATGATAGCCTGGGAATACAGGAAATCCATAGATGGAAATGGGCCAGGTAACTCATCCAAGTCTGGCCCTTGCTCCCGATTGACAGGCAGACCCCCACAGTGTTTCCCCCTGCAAACACCTAATTTCTTTAAGAAGCAAATAGTAAAGAAAAAAAGAAGACTTTGATTGTGACCTTCAGTAATCTATTGCAAATATTATTTCCTTATCACCTACAGCCTCCACCTGCTATAAGTTTTACCTTCATACTTTCAGTGTCCAACACTGGTCCTTTCTCTGGTTCTCTAGATTTGGTGCCCCAATTAAGAGCCCCTGTCTCAGTTTATTAGCACTGCCTCCCAAAAATTGTGCAAACAGAAATCGTCTCTCTCAGAATTGTCTTTTCTTCTGAAGAGGGATCCTCTCTATCCCTCTTGCTAGTACTGACCACAAAAACTACTCATTGATGGACAGTAGAATGGGTAGAATTTTCAAATTGAGGAATACCATCTTTCCATCTCCAATGGTGTGTGCGCTAGGAATCCTGTGTATATGAAACCATGTGTGCATGAGGAAGAGCGAGTGTTAAGTATGTGTGACAGTCAAGTAGTGAATGCATTAAACTTCTTAAATTCAATCTCCATGGGCAAGTTAAGCTTATGCTCAAATGTGTGTGTGGATGGCTGTGATCATCTCCCTTTGCAAATGTAGGAAAGGGCACTCCGATTGCTGGGAAATGTGTAGGCACAGTAGGCACAAACACTGTTTAGTGCTAGCCAAAGAAGGTGGTACACAGTGTAGTTTTGCCCATGCATGTGAGAATGTTGGTATTTAGCCAGAAATGTGAAAGTGCACAGCTGTCCCCAGCCTTTTCTGCACCTGCATCCATGGCATGGAGGGACAGATCATCTCTCCACAACTCTGTCAAACAGGCACATTCCTCAGGAGATGGAGCAGTTGGGGGGGGGGGGGATTGGTAACATGATCCTGAGCCTTTCTCTCTATGTTTCAGGTTAAAATTCTGCCCAGATTGGTAGCAACTGAAAGTAGTTGCAAATGTGGTTTAGGATTCATTGGACAACCTTGGGCAAATCATTTCTCTCCCAGAAGACTGTTTCCCTCTCGGTAAAATGGAAATAATTACCTGGGAGTTATCTCCCAGGGTGATAGGGAGAATGAGAATATATAAGAAGCTTGGTATTAGCTAACTATAGGGTTCTTGGCATAGTTCCCCTGAGGTCCCACAGAGTGAATAGATTAGAAACACAGGTCATTTCCCATTCCCCTTCTATATGGATGCTGCATATTTTGTAAAGGAGTAAGGAGGTGAGAAGCAAATAGAGAAAACTTGAATTTCACATTTAAGGTTCCTTGGGTTTGAGCAGGAATTCAGTTTCCAAACTAGTGGAACTAGAAAAAAAATCCATTTGTATTCTTCTTTCCTATCTTGATGAAGCTATGAAGAAGCAAAAAACGGCAACTGAAGCCTGAAGAAGCGGTTGAAAAAAAAAAATCTGTGCATAGGTTCAATGTGCCTCTGTATTGTCTGTCTGTCTTCCATGCCTGGAACGCTCTTTTCTCTTGGAATTCTGCCTCTTCTCTCAAGTGCTACCTTGGATAGGACACCTTTTCTGGTTGTTGCTAATGCCTTCTCTCTGGGGTTACCTTGTATCTACTATGTATGTATGTAGCTCGTATACTCTCTCTCTCTCTCTCTCTCTCTCTCTCTCTCTCTCTCACACACACACACACACACACACACACACACACACACACACCCCCAGGTTCTTGAGGCCAGGCACTGTCTTGTTTTTGTCTTTTATCTCCAATAATAAACCTAGTGCCTGGAATATATATAATAGGTGCCTAAAAATTGCTTGTAGATTGATTGGTGGATTGAAAGGCTAACGTTTTCTCCAGTCAGTTTGGAAGTAATGGTAATCGTGAAGCCAATTCTTTCAATTAGTTACACACCCAGGTGCCAGACCCATTCCAAGCAACCCCGTTATTGCCTTAGGAGCAAGCTCCAAGGGGGCTAGGTCAGCATAGGGCATAACAGAGCCCCAAATGAAACTCCAGAGCAACCCAAGTGGAGGGAGTCCTTAGTAGGCTAGTGGCTGGCTGGGAAACCTTATCCCCTACCTGACTATTCCACGAGTAAGTATGCTCTCGAACACCAGTATTACAACAAAGCTAAATAAAGCCAGCAGGCAGGGCCAGAGAGGGAGGGAGCTTTTCTCCTCTCCCACACAGGCAGCTTCGTCCAGTTTTGTTTCTTAGATGAGTCTAAGATACAGCTGATAGACTTCCTCGTCCTTTTTGCCACCCCCGTCCCAAATCTCTCATCCCCCACCCGATAGAGTTTGGGGTTTAACTGGCCTGCTGGCCAGGGCTCATTGATCTACACCACAAAGTCTCACTCATAAAGAACTCCCGAGCTCACAGAGCCGCTAGAGTTCTGCTCACTTTCCCCCTTTTCCATTACCACGTCCTTAGAGAAAGACAGCCCTGTATTCTAAAGCTACAAAGTGAGCAAAAATGATCTGGACCGAAGTTAGAAGGAACCCTCCCTCCCCTCCCAACCTACCCCCGTCTGAATTGGGGTTGGGGTGGAAGGGGGGGCGGCGGCGGCGCAGAGAGGGCAGAAATCTTTTTTAAAGCAGCAGTTTGGGTAAATTCAGTAAAGGGAGGAATCCTGTTGCTTTTCCTTCATGCCTCCCCATAACATGAGGGAGGGTGCTTCTGAAGCCACCCCCACCCTCTCTTTCCCAAAGCTGGAAGCCCAGCCAAGCTCTCTTACCTGCATGTCCTGCTCTGTCCTCTCGAGGCTCGCAAGGTTCCCCTCCCCCCCTCGGAAAGACTCCTTCCTCCAGCCCGGGTGGCAGTAGGGGGTGAAGGGGGTGGGGGATCTCTGTCCCCACCCCCTCTGAAGCAGGCGGCAGAGACAGGCAGGAGATACCCCACTCACTGCCCCGGCTGGGCCAGGAAGGGGGCCACTGAGTTGAAGCACAGCAGACCCCCCACTCCAACTCCCTCGGCTCACTGCTCCGCCCGGTCCGCCTCCCGCCGCGCTGAACTCCTCATCCGAAACTGGGGAGCTGGGGGAGAAGTCTGGGAAGCAGGCGTGGACGATTGCGCCCGCTCCGAGGAACCCAGCCCCGGGAGCTCTCTTCTGCACCCCGAGATCCGCCTGTAGCCTCCCGTGGCTCTGTTTGCTGGGGCAAGGGGCTGGCGACCCCCGACCCTCGAGTGTGTCTGTACCGGGTAGAGGGAGGTTACGACAGAGAAAGTCCGCGCTCTTTTTGGTCCGGAGGGACGCGACCCTGCCCTGCTGGGACCCCTGAAGTCGGCCCACTTGGAGAGGAGGAGGGGGCGTGAGGGAGGGCGGGCTCCGGGCTCTGAAGCCTGGCGAGGCGAGGCGAAGCGAGGGAAAGGGGTACGAAGCGCAACTAGTCCCAGCAGCCGAGGTCCCTGCTGCCGGTGGGGCTCAGTGCCATTCTCCGTGGCTCCGGGAGTTCGAGAAGCTAGCCTTCCGTGGCTTCAGAGAGGATGGCAGCAGCGCGCGGTGGGCGCGGAGTGCTGGGGCCCGAGCTGGGCCAGAGGATCCCGGGCTCCAGCCCCCTCCGCCCCGCCTCCCACACGCCTCCTCCCCGCCCCCAGCCAGTCCATACCCAGCCCCCGACTGCCTCCTTTTTGACCCCCCTACTTCCAGACTCCGGGAATACCCTTCTCACAGAGCACCAACTCGAGACTGCAAGACAGGCTCCAAGACGGTGCACTTCCGCACCTGCCTCACAGGGAGCTGCCTCTGGGTCAGATGCACCTCGGCCAAAAGTCCCCCCTTTCTATCTGACTTCCATGCGGTTCTTGCCTACCCCCAAGTTACTCTTCTCAGTTAAGTGAATTATTTGTTCAGAGTACCTCAAACCCTTGCTCCCAAACAGCCTGCCTTCAAAGCAGACTTTCTGGGCTTCTCCAATGCAGAAAGCACCAGCGAGTGCAAAGACTGGCCCCTGGAGTCCCTTTGAGTTTTCTGGGCACCTATTCTGTGGAATCCTGGCAGGAGCCCCACCTGCAGTTCTTACTGCACTGAAAAGATAAGAGAGCAAAGACAGAGCAATACAGGTCTCCAGGGTAGGGGGATTTGTTGGAGGCAAAGGCTGAACAAAGTTAAGAGACACTAAGGAACACTAGACCACACTAAAACTTAAAATAATAATAATAATAATAATAATAATAATGTTTCAACATTCTTTCACAAAACTTTCCCTTGTTACAAAATTTCTCTTCTTTGTTCTCCCAGTCTTGATGAGTTGAATAGGGCTGGAATTACTTTTCTGACTTTATGGGCAGAGTAGCTAAGACAGAGATGTGAGCACCTATCCATAGAATGAATTAGTCCCTAGAAGGAAAGAGAATTCTGTTTTCTGCACTTAGCTTAGTGGTCTACATCTTTACTAAAGCACTCAAGATATAGATATAGATATAGATAGATAGATAGATAGATAGATAGATAGATAGATAGATAGATAGATAGATAGATAGATGTATACATATACATATATATGCATATATTATATATATACAAATATACATACATGTATACACATACACACACATGTTTTAAGGTTAAAAAATGTTTTTGATCCCTCTAGCTTTTTTTTTTTGGCGAGGCAATGGGGTAAAGTGACTTGCCCAGGATCACACAGCTAGTAAGTGTCAATTGTCTGAGGCCAGATTTGAACTGAGGTCTTCCTGAATCCAGGGCTGGTGCTCTATCCCTCTAGCTTTTTATATCACCTTCATTACCCAACATATTCTCCCCTTCCCTTCTCACAGAGCCATCCCTTAATGGGGGGGGGGGGGAGGCAGAGAAACAGTTCAGGGAAAGTAACCAATACATTGAAAAAGTCAGACATTATATATGTATGCAGTATTTCATACCTAGAATCCTCAATCTCTGCAAAGAAAGGAGGTACATTCTCATATTTCTTTTAGGGGACCCAGTTTGGTCATAATAATTTGAAATCATTCAGTTTCTGTGATTTTGTTGCTCTTTTCACTTACACTGTCATAGTCATTGTGTGTATATGTATATACACATATATTCCTTTTGTTGCTTACTTCACTTTGCATCAGTTCATATAAGGTTTCTCATGCTTCTCTATATTCATCTTCATAATTTCTTATGATACAGTAATATTTCATTATATTATTGTACCCACAGTTTGTTAGACTATTCTTCAACCAAGGGCATCGCTTTGTTCCATTTCTTTGCTGCTACAAAAAAGTGTTGCTATTTTGGTTTATATGAGGACCTTTCTTTTTATCATTTACTTCCTTGTGATATATGCCTAGCAGTAGGATTTCTGGGTCAGAGGGTATTGGTCTAAAGGGTCAAAGTGCTTTTAAATACATAAAATCTCACAATGCCTTTCTGTTAGAAAGCACAAAAGAATGATGTGACTCAGCCATGTTATCTCCAGGAGCTGGGCTCCAAATTCCAAGACATCTGGGGGGCTAACAGCAGCAAGCTCACAGTTATGTCAGACAGACACGACAACTTATGTAAAACACTTTGCTGTTGTGTGTTTAGAGAGAGGAATAAAAGAGGTTGGCACCTCTAAAGAAACTGCTATTTTGATGCTATATGGTGAAGGATGGGCAAGGAGGTTACAGTTATCAGAGGAATTACCTTTTCTTAATTAGTAACCCAATGAGGTAACATTTCTAAGTAATAGCTCCCTTCAAGGAGGGTAGGGGTGTCAAGAAAAAAAATGGAACTAAATAACAAGTCCCCATTACGGTTAGGAAATAAATATCCATTTTCCTCTGGACTTTACAATAAGAAAGATAACAGCTGTTTTAGCAAATACCAGCTAATTAGAGGGAAAAGCTCACTTGGAATTGCATTGTTTATGGAATAGCATGTAGAAGGCTTTTCTCATCCTGGAGTAAAAGGTGTTTATGAGGCCAGGTCCTGAGCATTTTCAGGACTTTAACTGCTTGACCTATTATCCCTGAGGCCACTATTCTTAGTACAAGTCAAGGGAGCTAGTTCAAGGCTCCCTTTTTCAGAGAGAGAAAGGGATAGCAGAAAAATTATTTTTATAGGAAGTAAGAAGCATTAGATCCAGTTTGTTGCACCAAACTTGGCAATAATATAACAAAAACTCCTCCACTGAGGTCCTCTTCGATGTTTTATCATGGCATGGAGACAGCACTGTGTTCTCCAAGGCGTATGTCTAGCTCTAGCTGGCCCCACCAAGCTAAAAAGGCTTAGAGCACAAGAAAGGACTGGCTAAGTTCAGAGGAGCTTAAAACCAGGTTGGTCACAGGATAATCCATTTGGGGGCCACAGAAAGTCTTGAAGACAGTCTGAAGTACCAAAGTATATAATAATAACTCAAATAATATATGAGGATTTAAAAAATGTTTTCCAGGGCAGCTAGGTGGCACAATGAATAGAGCACCAGCCCTGGAGTCAGAAGGACCTGAGTTCAAATGCAGCCTCGGACACTTAACACTCACTAGCTGTATGACTCTGGGCAAGTCACTTAACCCCATTGCCTAGCAAAATATCAAAAAAAAAAAAGTTTTCCTCGAAGCAACTGGGTGAGAGAGGTATAATGGGCATAAGAGTGGAGAAGGGGATTTAGAAGTATAATTTCATTGGTATAGGGAATTCCCTGCCAGGAAACACCTACCAATACAAATCAGCAACTCCTCTCTGACTTATGGTTTCAGAAAATTGCTTGTACTGAGAAGTTCAGTGATTTGCCCAGAATCAGCATGTATTACCTGGTCAGATCTTTTTGACTTCCAGGTTTTCTCTCTATTCATCTCTCCTGGTAGGGAATAGAATAGAATATATGATATGATACAATATAATATGACATAATATGTAATATTAGCATTATTATCCCATTTTATAGACAAAGAAACTAAGACTTAAATAACTGACTTGTTCATAGTCACACAGCTAGGAAATAGGAAACAGGAATGGGTCTTCTGACTCAGAGTCCTATGCTTTCTGCTATATCATGCTTCTTCTTCTTCTTCTTCTTCTTCTTCTTCTTCTTCTTCTTCTTTCTTCTTCTTCTTCTTGTTCAGGGTTAGGGTTCTTTTGATGGTGGTGCGAGTGAGGGAAAGGCAGTGATTCCAAGAGAACTCTGATCAATACAAGACAAAGATAATTTTGGCAAGATGGACTTTCAGCAGGGCAGAAATAAACATTGGACCTGTCTTGAATTAGAGGACCAGGGACTCTGACTGATGTCACTATAGGACATGAGTTCCTCCTTTAAGTTCCTCCTGGGATGAATCAAAACTTCGTGGCTTAAGTGACGGAAGTTGTAGTATTCATAGGAAGAGAGCTTGTGGCTGAGTAGCCAGGAAGAAACAGATGAGACATGGCCCAAATTCCCAAGGGAAGTGGTGAGAACCCCATTGTCTGAGTCACTGAAAGTGCTAAAGAATTTCCTGTGGGGAAGCTGTCTACACCAGCCACTAGGATTTGAAGTCCACGGGAATGTATATATTGATCTTTCCTCAATCCTGTCTGTGGTTCTTGGGTAGGTTCTCTTTGTCCTTCACCCTTTAAATAAAATACTCCCTGTCTGGTAGATGGCTTAAACAAGATTTGGGCTTGTAGCAATTTTCATTCCTTTTGTACTTCTGTACTTCAATGAAAAAATGTGCATGAAGGAGGACAGGGAAAAATATTTTTAAAAACATGGTTCAGGAAGAAAAAATAACAGAGGCCAAAGGCTGGCAGAATACAGAGAAGCCTTACACCTTATATACAATGAATATTTTCTTCAAGAATAGATCCAGGAAGTATTGGACATAATGAGCACTGAATAAGAGAAATAAAATTGATTATAAAGTAACAAACAAAAAATACTAATGTGAATCGTTTCCAAATTAGCTGTTCACAGACAGATCATTCCCTTGTTAGTGCAAAGTTCAAAATCAATATTAAATACAAAAGAAAAAAAACCAAGAAGATATGTTAACTGAGACAACTCTATCTGACAAATAAATTATTAATACTGAAAAATGGGAAATGGAAGAAAGAACAGGTAACTGACATACCAACTGTCATCATTTCACAAAAAGTCTGACTGATGAAAAGCAATCATTATAACAAGGAGATTAACAGAGCCTAGAAACTTCCTTAATTGTCAAATATTTAATCTCTTAACAAGTGGAAAAATATAACAACCAAAAGAAACACCAGGAGCTAATTTGTAAAATCTAATAGAAGATGAAGATGGAAGATTATGATCAACATTGTCTCATAAAACAGTGAAAAGCAATACAAGGAAAAAACAAGTCTATAGAGAAATCTAATTGATACAGATCATTCCTTAGAGTATTTTAGCTTGAAAGTAGAAAGAAGACCATAGATAAAAAATGAAAAAGAGCTATAAATGTTTCTGCAGTCAACTCTTTTTTTTCTATCGACAACAGTAGAACTGATGCATTTGAACCTTAAGGTCATAGTTCCATATAAATTGCATGAAGAAGTAGAAATGGCATTAGGTTTAACAAAGGTGGAATAAACAACTAGATTAGACTAATTATGCTCCAAAGAAGTCAGGGTGA